GCAACTCCGCGATTACCGGCGATCTCTCGATCTCTTGGCCAACGATCGTACCCCGCGCTCGCTTTATCGGCCGCCGGACGCGGTTTCGCAACCGGCTTTCTCGATATCCGTGCGATTTTCCCCCGGAGAATTCGATCCGCCGTCGTCGGCCGCGTTCCGCGTGCTCCGGGAGTTTTGTTTCGATACCGAGATTTATCGTCGAGAGCTTTTTCGACGGGCTTTCGGGCGTTCTCCAGGAAATCGCCGCGCTTAATTGATCGAGCGCAACGATAGAAGATTGCAAGACATCGCGCTCGCGGGAACTTTCTCGGCGATTTTTGCGTCGGAGACTGTCCGCCGTGGTATTCTGAATTTCACGTGGATATCGATTGTTAATTGTCCGATTATCTGGAATTTACGAGTTGGGAGAAACGCGATATCTCAGTCCTTTCTCTCGCGATTTTTCGAGCTCCGTTATCTACGTTCCCCGTCAACGTCCACGATATTTATACGATCGAGTATCAGTTAGTAATAATTAATATTCACGAAAGACCTCCGATGAAAGCGGAATTCCTTTTCTCTCCAACGAACTGTTACTCGAAGGATCGGCTTAATAATCACGAGAGGAACTCCGAGATAACGCGTCAACAAAGTTGCTCGAACGTTTTTCCATCGCGAGTCCGCGTCGGAGGCGCATCATCGCGCGTCGGTCGATATCCGATCTGCACGCTCCATCAGCGCGGGATCCCGCTCGAGATTCCCGGCGAAGGAATTACTCCAGGATCCTGACACCTCGTCGAGGAGCGGGTCGCGGCGCAGCCACCCGGGCGCGCGCTAGATCGGCCGATCGCGGCAGGAAAAGGGGCCGCCGCGCGAGCTTTTCTTATTTCGCCGGCGGAGACGCCGGTACGCAAACAAGTACGTATTATGCGGGTCTAAGCGTTCCGTGAGTGCGTTCTTGTTTTCGGTGTAACCCGAAGCTAAGCGGTTTAAGAGATCAACGCCGTATAAACCGGCCGTCTGAGAATCGTCTGGAGATCTCGTGCGTGAGAGTCCGACGGTGGAACGAGAGAGAGAGGGAGGGAGAGAGAGAGGTTGGTGAGCTTCGGGAACATCGAGATGGAACGAGAAACGGGCGAAGTCGAAGGAAGAGAGGACAGAGTCGAACGGAGAAAAAGGAGTTCGAGGAGAGACGGAGAGAGGAGGCGAGCTAGGCGAAGAGAGGAATAGC